AATAGTGGGAGGGAAGCTGGGTGGAGTTTTGAACATTATCAGCACGTAAAGCAATGATAAACTAACAGGTAGTTGAATATTAAAAGTACACATAAAACAATAACATTCAATACTGAACCAAAAGGAAAAAAATTATTCTGTTAATACAGCTGAAAACTGCTGCTGTCCTGATTAAACAGACAATAGTTTATACGCTGGTTAAGTGCAGAGCATCAGCTTTTACAGGTTTGCTTATTCTCAAAATGGCCAAAAATGTTCCAAAGAATCTTATTATAGAGAAAATATCCGAGAGCTCCGAGATGCTGGAGACAGATTTCCTTACAGAAACGTGAAGAGGAAACTGGACAAACCAAAGAAAAGGTGAAGATGGTGGAGGAGTGGCTGATGCACTCTGGGTGTGTAATACAGGGACACTGTAACATTCAGACCACTCAACCTTATGTTTTGAAGTCACTTTATTTGGTATTTTGACTGGAGATCCACATGTTTTATTTTAAAGAAACACAAAAAAACAGCATTTTGTATAAAATTCTAGTAATTCTGAACAATTAGCTTAATCCAGTTAAGGCAAGTATATGAAGTCAAAGATATGAAAATGTTATGTACTGAAGGCTTTGCCGACAATTCAACATTTCAAGGATTCACTTTCATTTTGATTCGTTCCAGCTAGCAGACACACACACAGTACTGTACCGTTACCGAGAATAAAACGAACAATTTGGGTTCCATTACCAAACTATTTGGATAAGAGTTAAACTCTGTCCTAAAAAAACCCATCCCAGAGCTTTAGCAATGTCAGTTTATGTTACTGGTTGTTTGTTATGTTGGGTGACTTTCATTCTTTAGATGTTTCACAGTTTTGCGATTTCACCAAATTGTGTTATCGCTTTGAGTTTCACACGCTCATCACCACTTCTGAACAGTCTTTTCAGAGACAAACTGTCCATGAGGCTCTTTGGCTCCAGATGGCAGCAAAGCCAGGTAGACCGGTGTGACAGCGCCCTCGTCTGGTGACTTGGGAGCTTTTGGTCCAGCCATGTCAGTGCGCACCCATCCTGGGCAGCAGGCGTTCAACAGGATCTTTTAAAAGAATCAAATGAAAACAAAATCTGTTAGCAATGACGATTTAATGTAGGGCTGGGCGATATATGTAAATGCAGAATTTATTAAATTTAACGGAGTTAGAAGTTAACAGGAAGTCAGCTCGCTAGTTTCCACCTAAACATGACATACCATGTTCTGACTGAGAGATTT